CCCTCAGAGATCTATCTATCTGCCATCGGCTCCCTGAGTCTGCCCTGAATAATAGAAGCTTCAATCCTAAGGGAGGTTCGGCTCTGCTTAAAAGCAGAGCCGAAGATCTAAAAAATTACCTAGAAAAGCTAGAAATCCAACCGTTTCCTGCTTCCTAGCTGATCTAAATCTCCCGGCACAGCAGAACGGATGATGGTTGGGAGGGAAAATAGCGACTTAGCGGGCAAGTTGGATGGCGTGCATGCCAGGTAAGGAGCGAGTAGGCGGGGCGGGGCCAGCCAGTGGCGCAATTTGCCGGTTCTCCAAACTGGGCAGAATTGTAACAACCGGTTGTGTATAGAACCGGTCCGACCAGGTAAAATCCCACCCCCGTGTACGGGGTCTCTCTCCTGCTTCCGCAGGGGGGGTCGGGCTAGATGACCTCCAAGGTCCCTTCCTCCCGGCTCTATTCCGACGGGTCGAGCTTGGTTCTTCGGTCGGAAGCGCCTCCCGAGTGGTGTCCCACTGCCCAGCCCGCCAACCCCTCCCCCAAACCCCTCCCCCATGCCCAGACTGACCCTTCACCCTTGTTCTTCTCCTTCAGCCAGTGGTGCAAGGCGTTGCTGTTGAACTGCAGCGCCCCCTTCAGGCCGCCCTTGCACTGGATCTGCATGATGGTGTAGGAACTCTTCACCACTTCGATGAGCCCCACGCAGTCCCCGATGGACAGGCAGCCGTACGGCAGCATCCTGCCAAGAGGGCAGGGCAGGTCAGGCCTGGAGGGAGCCCGTGGGTTTGTGGAGCCGAAGGCCAGGGAGTAGCGAGGGAGGAAGGCGGGGTGGGCAGGTGGGTTTTACTCCTCCCAAATGGGGCAGGGGGCTTTCGCAAGGGAGGAGCACTGATCTCCTGCAGCCGGCCACACGCAAGCACATCTCCTACTCCGTCTCTTTCTCCTCCCCACCCTACTTTTTAATATATATAATACATTATAATATATATACATATATAAATAATAGAATACATTCACCAAGAATCAGAAGATACTCATAGGATACTAAATCAGCAATCAAAATCGTACG